CTCTGGCCCCCACAGACACAGCTATGGGAGAGGCTTCCATGCTGCTGATACTGGGGATTCCACTTTACGTGAGTGTCAATGTCCAGAAGCAATTTTAACCTCTGTTACTGGTGACATTTAACATTTCTCTGTTTCCCAACAGTCCTCTTCACCCACAGCCTCCTCTCTTCCCTCAAACTCCATGTCCATGCTGCTTTTTCACTCACTGCTGGTCTTGTAGGGTTACACGGGATGTTGGTGGCTGCTGATACTGGGGATTCCACTTTACGTGAGTGTCAATGTCCAGAAGCAATTTTAACCTCTGTTACTGGTGACATTTAACATTTCTCTGTTTCCCAACAGTCCTCTTCACCCACAGCCTCCTCTCTTCCCTCAAACTCCATGTCCATGCTGCTTTTTCACTCACTGCTGGTCTTGTAGGGTTACACGGGATGTTGGTGGAGCAAGAAATACACATAGCAACTTATTTATCTATGGCAATATAGTTTCAGAGAGGACAATAATAGGCATCAATACTCTTAATAGAATTATCTCTTGCAGAAGGTCAAAGAATGCGGATAGAGCAGCACTTAGAGCTCGTGACTTAGAAATGTGCTCTCAAAACATTCTGCCCAGTCTCTTTAATTACTACAAAGGCACGAGGTGAACTAATGTTGATTACTCACAATGTGGGTTCAGTGCCAATGGATTTGCAGAGTATCATGAAAGGGACCAAGGGCATTCCATATGAACTGTAATTTGACCCTTTAGCTTTGTATAAAGTTTAAGAGAAATGCTGAAGAAAAGAATTTCATGCCTAGGACATAGCAAAATGTTAAATAATGAAAAGGGGAGCAAAGGTCTTAATAGTTTTTTTTTATCATTTTAGGCCTTTCAGTTTGTATCGCTGTGGCTATGTGCATGCATCACATTAAAAAAAAAAGTGGAAGAGAAAGGTCTTTAGTCATTTCCGTATGTTGCTGTTCTAAAATACTCTGTTATGATGCTGTATAAATGATTTTTATAGAGAAGTAAGGGATATCTCAAGATTAAAAGTGAAGTGGTTTCTTCTTCCATCAGGAGAAAACCCGTTCACAGCATCCTTAAAGGTTTCAAGTATTTTAAACATATGGGAAATTCATTTAAGCTTTTTCTACTACTGGAACTTTTGCTAAATACTAAATGAGTATTTTGCAGTCTTGTAAACAAATTTTGTATTACTGTAAGAGAGAGTGAATTAGGGCTATTTGTGGGTGAGGAGGAGAGAAACAGCATAAAATTGGGGATTGTGAGAGGAACAGGTGCAACATTTCTGTGGACTTTGTGTTATCAGACACCAGCATCAGAAAGTTTCCCCTCATTGTCCACAAAAATACCTCAGTGCTAGTCAGAAACAGTGGTTTAGTCTCCATCCATACACTTTAACTAGCCTGCATGTAGCATGCCAGGGAACATGCCACTCTGTTTTCCTGTGTTTATTCTGATAAGGTACTCAGAATCTAGATCTACTGAGGGAATGTTGCTCTCCTTTCTATCTAATTTTCAAAGAAAAGCCCAAATGGAACAGCTGATATGAATCCTCTGAGCTTTGAAGTTGATGCCTAACAGTGAAAAGCTCTCTCAGCTTGGTCTTGTGCCTAATTTACTAACAAGCAAAAATGTATCACTGAATCTGGATGAATCTTGAACT